CAACTTGATTTTGCATTTCATAATATGTTAAATTTAAATATTGAAAAAAAAAAAAGTTTTTAGCCTTGGTTTTCACTTGTTTTTCTAGCAATACTGTTATATTCTCCTAAATTGATTAGCTTATATGGTTTAATATCAATACACGCTTTGGTTGTAAACCAATTACATGATATATGACCGGATTTTAGCCTTAAGAGGCCCCTGGGCTAACAGAATTTTGGAGCCCCCTTTATTACATATATTTTCACCCACCTCCCATGTCTATAAAAAAAAAAATGATATCTTTTTAGATAATGATTTTTTGGTATAAAACCTGAAACACTTCAACTAAAAGTTTTAATGATTTTGGAACTGATCCAATTTATTTCATTAGCAACTTGATGATAATTTTTATACGAACTTTACATCCTACAGAAATGTATCTGGAATGAAGGGCCTGTATTAGACTGAAATTCTCAGATTTAAAATCACTAGCAAAGCATCTTAAAATCATACAGATGATGAAGAAGGAAAATCCTGACTTGCTACAGGTCTGCGATCCTAGATCACCAGAGCTGAAAAGAATTTAATTATATTTATTGTTAAAATTGTCATTGAGTTAGTAATTCTTATAAATCATAGATATTAGACAGAAAGAAAACAGATTCTTGGATTGTATCACATTCTAAAGAAAGATAATAACTTCAAAGGGCCACATCGAATTTTAAAAGACCCTACTCCATTTAGAGGGGGCCAAAATATGCCAAATTGTTTTAAATTAAAAGGAACCCCATTAATTCTGAAAATAATCATCTCATTTTTCTTATATCTTTAGTTTTTTTATCAGGGGGCCAAGACTAGGGAGCCCGTGGGGGCCCCAGGGCTGCAGCCCATATGTAAATCCGGCACTGTATATGACTAGGACCTACTCCAAACGGTGTTGTTTATCAATCAAAGCTAATTTTTTTTACTTGAGAATATATTAATATTGAAATGCTTATAAACTTTACCCTGAGCAACAATGTCTGCATACATATGTATATACGTCTAAGCATATCAAAAAGTCTGTAGCCTAATGCTTTTTGTTTTATTTTTTTTTAAAATGCCTTTATTTTACATAAATATTTACTTTTCAGCATAGTTTACTTCTTTGTCAATGCACTTAATTCAATAGTGAACAATAATGATATATATTAAAAATTATATTCCAAATCTGGCAAATAATTGTTTGACAACTGGGTTAGATTACAGACTTATTGATATACCCCCCCACCCTCGTGTGTGTGTGTGTATAGTGGTGTAGTGTTGGTGAGGCCAGGGGGATATTAAATTTTGGGGATTGCAAAAAAATTGAGAAAATATGTATGAAACTAGAATTTGTAACAGCTTATGGGAGAAAAGGCGTAATTAATGAAATTCCCTTGGGCATACAAAACCTACCCTACACCACTGCATGCGTGTGTATATATATATATATATATATATATATATATATATATATATATATATATTTGTATTTGTGTATGTAATATGTTCGCAAAAGTGATAAACACCATTCCTGTTATTAAGAATAATATCTAAAAGTTTACATTTTTGTACAATTTTAATTAATAATAATTATTTTTTTTCAAAAAAAAAAAAAAAATACATCAGTAAGTCCATGGCCTAATTATGAGGAAAGCATTTATTTTTCACAACTATCTCCTTCAGTGGTAAATATTAAATTGCCCACAGAAAACATTATACAGTGAAAATTTCAGATCAGATTTTATTTTTTTTTAACTTTTCACCCTGAGCAAGCCACTAAGATGCAAGGGGTTACTGAGTCTGAAAAGAGAAATTAAGAAACCAGAAGAGTTTCACAAACATGAAAAGAAATTATTAGCACAGAATTTACAGTTACAGTTAACCATTTCAGCTGTTGCAAAATGATGAAACCTATCTGCCAACCTAGTACTGAACTTAAATTTGTAAAGATACTAAAGAGGAAAGCCTATCAAAACAACCTTGAAAATATATTTATAGAAAAGGATCTTGAAAGCTACATTACGTCAATGGGGAAAGTAACTGAAGCTAAGATGACAGCTCAGGATTCATAACATTGCAGATTCTGCTCTGGATTTTATCAAGAATCTCTAAATACATAGCAGAAGCATCAGGTCAAATGTGGCAGAAATATTCAAAGCATGGGCGAATGGTAGACTTATAAATATGTAAGATAGATTCTGACATGAAAAATTGTCAAGTATGACACAGTGAACCAACTTTCCTAACAGCAGACCTAGCTATTGATTCAACATAATCTTCCCATTTAGTGTCAGTGGAAAACATTAGCCAGAAAAGGTGCAATGAGTCACTGATAGAGGTTAACATCAGCCATGGAGGGGACCTTTTTAAGAGATTTGATTCAAATCCATTTTTGGCTATGGCTTTATTGGTGCATGATCATTATATATATTAAAAATAACATTTAAATATATATATATATATATATATATATATATATATATATATATATATATCTTAACCATATTTTTTTAATTTTTTTCAATAACATCACATGGTGTTTTTCTCGGTTCTTTAAACGACAAAAAGAAAAAATGCATTGCCTGTCTTTAAAGATCTTTAAACATATTTTATTAGTTGACTTCATTCAATGGTCACCCTATACAAGGCCCAAGAGCCACTCAAGGTAGTGGGTAACTATGTGGAGTCATGGTGAAGTTGTATAACAGGCACTGTGAGCAGAAATAATCTTTTCTTTTTTTCTAAAATATTTTTTTCTAAATTTTTTTTTTTTTCTTTCTTTCATATTACTACAGATTAAGCACTCCAGATAACAAATAAAAAATATAAATCGATTGTAAATGGACATTGTGGAAACTAAAACATAATATAGTATTCTCCTACTAAGTAATTTCTTAAAGTTTAAAAAAAAAAGTTTTTCAAAATTTGTAATATGTGTTAGAACGAGTGGAGTTACTATAGCTATAAATAACCTTCAAAGGGTTGATAAGCCCTAAAAAAACAAATTCATCTTTTGTAAAAGACTAACACTGATTCTAATTTTCAAATTTGAATTTAACACACCAAAGTTTCATTATAAATATCAGAAGTTTTAAATTCAGAAATATTTCTTCTTCTTCTTTTTTTTTTTTTTTTTTTTTTTAAATTTCTGATTTGTGTTATCTGAGTGTTTTATCAATTATAATAATAATAATATGAAAAAGAAAATTTTGAAAAACATTAATTCTGGTCACCGTGTGTATTGTTCAACTCTGTCGAGATTACCTCTGTTGTAATTTTTAACTGACATGTGTGTGTATATTTTATGTGTGTCTCCATCGATGTAACTTTTAACCCACTGTATCCAATCAGTAGCGTAATTCCTAAAGAATTGTCATGAAATTACGATGATAGTAGGGAATGACCAAGAATTTGAATTTGTTTGATTTACAATTTAAGTTATGCGTTGAACTCGATCTTTCTTTTGTGTCCATCAAGTTACCTAAAGCCAAATCTTTTTGTTGAACTGCAGTGGACATTTATCTGAAAATTTGCTGGTCACTAGAAAATGAAGACCTCCAGAAAATCATGTCTTTATATTTATAGCATGAGCAATGGACAACATAGGGCCATAAACGTTAACCTCTCTATCCCATTTATTAACCTAGAAGTTCCCACAAAACATAGATCAGTGACTTCTGTCTGAAGTTCTGGGATGAGTTATCATTATTTACACTATTTACATGTCAACTAATGTCCTCATCTTTGTGATTGTTATCACAATGTTTCAACCATTTTGCTCTTTGGCCTTCATCAGATCTCGGATCGACATATACTAGATGCTTTTCCTGACACCCAACTTGGTAGTCACTGAGTATTTTTATTGAGGCACTATCTCTAAGAAGGTTGCCATTCAAGGCTTGAGACCCCATCCTAGCCTTTATATATATATATATATGTGTGTATATATATATATATATATATATATATATATAATAGGATTTAATACTGGCAGAAACATCTTAAACATATTTAATAACTAATCCTCCAAATAATAAATACCAATCCCCATCCCAATTGCTAGTGAACTAATAAAACAACACTGCTTAAATACCCCAAAATATTATCTATAAAAAATAAAAATAAAAAGCAACCTACTTCAGTACTAAAAAATACAGCCATGATGACGGTTGATGACAACCAAAAGTGCTTGGCAAAAACCCAAGGACTGGGATCTTTTTTAACAGCCCAAATATAAAAAAATTTGCAAGAAAAAACTGAAAGAAAGATTATTAAACAGAAAAGTTCCGTAGTCTTTAATACCACATGCCTCAATATTGATATGCTGCCAAAATATATTTATATAGACACAAACATCCCACTAAACATGATCCATCAAAATTATAAATGAATGATTCTTGTATAGTTAGAAAAAGTTTATATCATGGATGCAACCATATGTTTTATTCTAACAGTTTCTTTTCTCACCTGTGGAACTCCCTTCCAATTTCTTGCTTACCTGTTGTCTATAATCGTCAAAAATTTAAATGCAACATCAATTATAATCTCATCTATTCTTTTATTGTCCTGATCCTTACTAAAGTCTTCTCACTCTCAGTTACCCCACCCAACCTTGTGTTCTAGTGGCATTGTTCCTTTGCTTGGGGTGAAATGATTATAAAAAAACAAAAAAATAAAAACAATTGATGATATCTGCTGATCTCCAATGAAAACTTGATCAATATTACCCCCACTGTTTAAGGGCGAGATGTGATCTGAAAGTTCAATAGGATGGGTTTTCAGTTAGTCTACAAAACTTGAATTTTTACTTTTTATTCCTCTGTCTACACATGTAACATCGTTATACATAATCTCCTATATTGAAGAGATAGATTTGGGTGGGACATTCATCTGTCTTTTTGAAATTAGCATGAGAAAGTGTTTGGATACAGTGGGTCAAATGTGTCTGGTTTCAAATCAAATTTTAAATTTGTTTGTTCATTTCTTTTTTGCAGCTAAGTCCAGATTACCCTGGTATTTCAATGATGTTAACACGGGTGCGTAAAACTTCTTTTTTCCTCTTTTTATGTATTTTAATTATTAGCTGCTTTATCTATTCTGTATGCGTGTGCATTTAATATATATATATAAACTCTGTGACAGAACCTCTTAAATTTTGTCTTGTATATTTGCCTATTGAAAATTATGTGTATGCACACACACACACATTACATAGCAAGGAAATCCAAAATTACCTTACGAGTATAGACTATTTCAGCCAATGTATAGACTATATAACATACTCATGAGGTAATTTTGGATTTCCCTGTTACGTAATATATATGCTCTGTTATAAGAAATAGCTTGATCTCTTTCTGGATCAGTTTTAATATTTCATATTATTAGGATCCACTTGGATTATATACCAACAGATTTATTACCTGTACTAACATACATATATATATATATATATATATATATATATATATTTTTTTTTTTTTCAAACATATATTGTTAAATATAATAGACAACAAATGTCTATTATGTCTGTTCTAAACACCATATATTTGCTTTAATTTGGGGGGTAAAATAAAGACAAAAATTGTCCAACATTTGGATATTTTTTTCTTATGCCATTCCTTGAACTAAACTTTCGACTCACATGCATCTAGATACGTGGTTCTGTTGTTAATATTTTGTTTTCTCACATGGTACAATATCATAGAACCGCATCATGAATTTACAACCTGCGTCTGCCATTCTGTGACCGTTATCGTCACATCGAAATCTTCTATGTCAACATAATAAAATACCATCTTTAATGGTGAATATCTTTGTTTAAATGTCTATATAACCACTCTGAAGATGGCTCATATGAGCCGAAAGCTTAGATCAAAGAACAGCATAATAAAAAAAATATCCAAATGTTGGACAATTTTTTTCTTTATTTTCTCCCAATATTAAAGTAAATATATGGAGTTTAGAATGGCTCATAATCAAACAAAATAGACATTCGTTGTCTGTTAAATTTAACAGTATATGTTTGAATAATGATCTGCTGTCCCAATACACACACACACACACACTATATATATAATCCAACATAATGATAAAATAAGGAACAAATAGGAAATGTTTATAAATTTAATGTTTCAATTTTATTTAAGCTTCATCAGAAAGTTTTTGGAAATGAATTATGGAAGAGAAAGTTCTGGTAATTTTAGTTTTTTTTTTTTTTTTTTTTTTTTTACAGTGTAGTTCACTCTGTACAAGGCCTGGGGGCCACTCAAGGTAGATGTTTACAGAATAAGAGTGACAGCTTACTTATACAGTATATATGCATATAGAAAATAACAGTTAACACTAGGCTTTTAACAGGTTAAGATTGTAGTGATCAAGGAAGCATCCTCTTGGGAGTCACTTGAGGTAGAGGGTTACAGAGTTTATGCAGATATGTGAGGAAGATAACAGTTAACCCAAGATTTGAACAAGTTAAGATTGTAGTCATCAGGGAAGCAATCTGTTGGAAGTTAGTTTCACAAGGTAGTGGTTCGTGTGAAGAAGCTGCTTGAGTAGAACTTACTTTTGACTAGGGGAATATGAAAAGAATGAGGATTGTTTGCTACAATGTGCATATGACATGTGGCAGGTCTTAGCTGTGAAGGTTAGGACTTCTGAACTAAGGAATGAACTTCATCTGAACATTCCACCATAGCAAATTGCAATAGAGCAACAAGAGTCCCACAACATCTTGTCTGTGAGAAATTGATTACAAAGTCTAAAATAATTTGTTACCTACAAGGATGTGGAGATGCTTTTGAACTCTTCTTGAGTGGAAAGTGAAGACTGTGCAGCTCCAGCCCATATATGGTGGCACCACACCATTTTTTGGCCTTCTCTGGCTCTTGTAAATGTACAGGATAGCAGGAAAGGTCAGATACTTACTAGCGCAATACAGGGAACCGACCATTTTTCCAGCATTTTTAGCAATGGACCATATATATGAGTTCCACTTGAGGTCTGGATTGAGTTTAAGTCTCAATAGGTGCTCAAAGCACTGGGCCTCCCTGAGGGAACATCCGTTCATCATGGTTCTTGAAAGTTCTGGGTTCAATCAGTGATGGTGGAAGGTCACTAGTTTGGTTTGTTTGTTTTTCATTGGTCAGCTAGATCTTGCATATTTTTGTCTTGTCATGTGTGGTGTCTGGATTCTAGTGGTCATTTTTGTGCATCTCTGGTCATGTCTGTGTGGTGAATTTCTGAAAATAGTAGTGAGAAGAAAATTCAGAAAGGATATGCCTGCCTGTATGTATATGTCAAATTTCTAGCTGGTATTGTGGGAATTGGTAGTATCCCTGCATGTGTTGATTGTTGGTTAGATGTACGTGATTAGTGTTGGGGTGAAATCTATGGTTGAAGGGGGGAAAATAATCGTGTCATGGGAAATTTGTAGGTGTGTAGGTGGGTATTGATTCTATTTTAATATAGATATTATTTTTTCTCTTCTATAACTAATTTTAAAAATGTTTCTGATGAAGCTTACTTAAAAGCAAAACCTGTTCAATTTATAAATGCTTGCTATTTCATATATATATATATGTATGTATGTATGTGTGTCTGTGTGCACCATTCTCCTTTATTTTTTTAATGTTTGCGAAAATATTCAGTTAATGATTTCTGTATAAGTATGGAACCTTTTTTTTTTTTCATATTTTTGACTTGTGTTAGTATGAATATGGTTTCAAGGCCATGATGTACAAATAAGTTTTTTTGCCTCTTCTTTTCTCTAAATTTAAAAAAAAAAAGGGGGTTTCTGGTGTGTGACAATTATTTAGAATATATATATTTAAAAAAAAAAAAAAAAAGAGAGAAAAATATGAATATAAAAAGATGCATGTTTTCTTTTCTTTTCTTTTTTTTTTAATTGCATCTCAACATTTTAAGCTGTTGTTATGTTTAGCATGCTTCTAAAATATTGATGTGAAAATAAGCTGAAAGTTATTAAGTTTTTTTCGTCTGAATATTTGTCTTTTGGGAGTGGGATTAAGAGTCAGGTGATTGAGTTTGTCCATTTATTCTTTTTTTTTCTTTTTTTTTTTTTTTTTAATATTTTTTTAATCATGGTAAGATGGGATCATTGCTTATTAACTTTCCGAACTTGAAGTTAAAAATTTTTTTTAAAGGTAGTATTAAAAGATTTTGGCAGTGTGGGGTCTGGATATTACCCATTATTAACCAGTTTGATATTTAAAATATGGGACTCAGTCATTATGAACTAATATTTTATTTTATTATATTTTTTGGTGGATTGTCTTTATCCATTAGGATTTTTTTTCTTTTTTAAGGATGTATAGCTCTCCATTATTTATTCATTTTAGGTAAAAAATAATATTAGTCCATTAATAGATTTTTTTTTTTTGTGGGGAGGTAGTTTTCTATACCCTTAAGAACCCTTTTGAATTTTCTTCAGAATAAAAAAAAAAAAAAATTCTTCAATATATTTGACTATAACCTTGTTCATTTCTCTTATTAAATGCCTTACTCTTTTTCTGTCTGTCTGTCTTTTCCTTCTAATAATCTGGCATTTTTCCCCACTAACATCATCTGCACACCTTGTAGAAATTTTTGTCTTATTTTATTAATATGATCTTAATGTTTGAATCTGCTAGAAAAATTGCAGAGAAAATATTGACTATTTACTTTTGGCATTTATAAATTTACTCAGGCAAATAGATTCAACTTACAACTAAGAGAAGCAGCATGCATGCAATACTTAGCTATTAGCCAAATTTAGATCTAAAATTTTCATGTATATTGTTTGATCTGCGTGATTAATATTCGTTATCTTATTAAGTGCATTGACAATGGATATTGTTTAAAATAGTTTAGCAAAATTTTTTTTTCTTTTGTCATTACACATACCTGCACATGTGTGTACTTCTCTCACTCACACATATATATAGTGCTTCTCTCTCTCTCTCTCTCTTTCTCATATATATATTATCATAACTATTATACTAAAAAATTTGTAAACTCAATATCTTTCCTCCACTTCTGTTTATAAATACTAGTTATAAAATAAAATCTCTATATTTACCTTGTTAAAGTATATATATATATATCTCCAACTAAATATATATATATATATATCTCCAACTAAATATATATATATATATATATATTCCAACTAAAAATATATATATATATATATCTCCAACTAATATATATATATATATATATATATATATATAAATATATATATATATATATATATATATATATATATATATATCCAATATATATATATATATATATATCCAATATATATATATATCCAACTAAATATATATATATATATATATATATATCCAACTAAATATATATATATATATATATATATATATCCAACTAAATATATATATATATATATATATATATATATATATATATCCAACTAAATATATATATATATATATATATATATATATATATATATATATCCAACTTAAATATATATATATATATATATATATATATATATATCCAACTAAATATATATATATATATATATATATATATATATATATCCAACTAAATATATATATATATATATATATATATATATATCCAACTAAATATATATATATATATATATATATATATCTCCAACCAAATAATATATATATATATATATATATATATATATATATATATATATATATATATATGAGAAAGAGGTAAAGATTGTGTTTATGCATTTCATCCTTAAAGACTAAAAATTGATATGATTATACATGCACATAATGGAAAGGTGATGCTGAAATTTAACAAAATTATTTTCTTTAAATGTCATAGATTTTCCTTAAATTGTTCTCATAGATAAAAAAATATATATATATATATATATATATATATATATATATATATATATATATATAGGAATCCCTTTGATTAATGCAGCTAATTACACTGGTAACTATAAAAAAAATTAATTTTCAATTACTATGGTTAAATTGAAGAATGTTTTGCTTCATTAATTAAGTATTATAGATGCACT